CCACATCCTCTCAGGAAATAAATCATGATTCTTTGAGACACAAGCTTTGGCTTGCCACTGGGCTCCACTTCAGACTATACATAAGACCATGGGACATCACATGACCATGTGATCCGAACTGCCCATTACAGACTGGGCGATGTGAAGCCATAAAGTGGAGCTTTCCCAGCAGTACTCCATCATCAAGGGGGAAGGGGTTCACCTTGAGCACAGGTAAGTTGCACGAGCAGGTGGGTCACACTCCCGATAGGCGTAGTCGTACCTCCCTGCTCCCCCACCTTCAGCCTACACCTGTGACCTCATGAAACTCCTTATGACATGTTTGGCAACATTGTTATTCCCATTACACTAATAAAGAAACTGAGTCACAGGGACATCAAACAACCTGTCCAAGTCACCCAGCAAGTGGAAGAGCAGGGACCTGAACCCCAGATTATGAAGGGGACATAGGATTGCTGGTACAGGAAGGAAGATGGTTGGAATCTGGGGGATTGCCCGAAACACCTCCTAGGACTACCACGCCCAAGGGTAACAGCTCATAGAAGATTATAGCAGCCAGATGCAGGCAGGATCACCCAGCGCTCATATTCCTCAGGAATGATGGTTTGGGTCACTGTTCTAGGTGCAGATGCAACCTACGGAGGGGCTGGCTACAGGCAAAGTCATAAATACCAACCCCTGCCGCTTGTCCAGCTGTAGAGATGAAGACCCTAGCATGGATCTGCATGTTCTTCCTTTCTGAGATATCATATGATAAATGAATTCTCCTCTTCTTTGTCTTTCCCATTTTATCTCACGTGGTTCTTGGTGGTAAAGTTTGCAAGTTTCCCCCATGAGCTTCACAGTCACAAAGGCAATAGAGGGAGAAGGGATAAAGTGTGCATCCTGGCACTCCCGACAAGACCCGGGTGGGCCTGTCAGGGAGGGGTGAGCAGACTTTCTCAAGTATAGAAGGGCAGTTGCATCACGATGGGCAGCACCTTTTTTTTTTTTTTTTTCATCTTTTCATTAGTATCGGTGTTGACCTTAAAAATAAAAGTCAGTTATTTTACCAGCTGAATGGGTTTATTCGGGAACAGCAAAGAATTGCAATTCAGGACGTACAATCTATGAACCACAGGCAGGTCCAGGGAAACAAAGCAGAGGATCTTCTCCTACAGAGAAGGGGAGTGGGAGGCGCTGTCGTACAGGAAGAGTCGCTGGAGGAAGATGGGCGTCGGAAGTGTAGTGGCCTTTCATTGGCTGAGTTGTGACAGTCTCTCATTGGCTGAGCTGCGGGGCTTCTCATTGGCTGAGCTGTAGCACTTCTCATTGGCTGAGCTGCAGTGTTTCTCATTGGCTGAGCTGCAGCATTTCTCATTGGCTGAGCTATATTATTTCTCATTGGCTGAGCTGCGGGGCTTCTCATTGGCTGAGCTGTTGCCGGGTGAGAAGGTAATCTTCCCTCCTCCTCCTGGAGTTAGCAAAGTAGTGTCACTTGCTCTAGAAATGCGAGTACTCTCCTCCTGTTGCGATTGACGGACTGGTGCCTACCCTGGGTCTCCCCTGCCGGCCTCACCGCTCCACTCTGAGCGGGTTTCTGTTTGCTGATTTCCGCATGGGCGTGGGAAGGATGATGGCTGTTTGTGTAAAGCAGCGAAACGGGGCGCCCGTGTCGGGTGGCTTTCATCTTCGCCTTCGAGACGACCTGGGAGGACAGGCGCCGGCTGTGGCCTCGGCAGGGCCCCGCGGGAGGAGGCCTTGTGGAGGAGGCCCCGTGGAGGAGGCCACGGCTGCAGCCCGGGCGTGAGGGGACGGTCCGGGGGTGAGGGGACGGCTCGGGGGTGAGGGGACGGTCCGGGGGTGAGGGGACGGTCCGGGCGTGAGGGGACAGAGAAGGTCAGGTTCCAGGCGGGGCAGGCGGGGCCTACGCGCGGTGGGCGGGGCCGCCGAGCATCGGGGACTACGTTACCCAGCAGGCGGCGCGCGGATGCGTCACTTCCTGCGGCGCTCGCGGCGCGCGTGTGGGAGTGCGCGAGCGAGTGTTTACTTCCGGCGCCGCCGCCGCGGGCTGAGGGCCGAGCGTGTCGGGCGGCGGGCGCGGCGGGACCCGCGCAGCCATGGACTGGCTCATGGGGTGAGTCGGGCGGCCGGCGGGCGGGCCGCAGACGCGGGGGGTCCCCGGGGCGCGCCGCGGGCAGCACCGGTCAAGGGCACGGGGCCGGGCGGAGCGGGCTGGGCCGGCGAGGGGCGTCTTCACGGGGACGGAGACGGGAGCGGGGCGCCGGTCGGAGCTCTTCGGAGCGGGGCCGGGGTCGGGGAGCGGGGCGCCGGTCGGAGCGCGGGGACGGAGCTCCTCGGAGCGGGGCCGGGGCCGAGGGACCGGGCAGGAGCAGCCTGGAGCGGGGCGAGGGCGTGGGAGCCGCATGGGAGTGGGGACCCGGGCCGGGGCGGGGAGCGGGGCGCCGGTCGGAGCTCCTCGGCGCGGGGCCGGGGCCGGGGAGCCGGGCGGGAGCGGCTCGGAAAGGGGCGAGGGCGCGGGAGCCGCATGGGCACGGGGCACCGGGCGCCGGGCGCGGGGCGGCGCCCGCCTGGGCAGGACCGGCGCTCGCGCTGAGCTCCGCGCCCCGGTTCCGGCGGCCGCACCTCGCGGCTGGGTGTCGGGTGGCTGGGCGGTCTGACGGGGTGCGGCTCGCGCCGGCCGCTGCCGGGAGCTTGCTCCTGGAGGAAATAACTTTAACGCCGGCGCCGGACAGCTCCCCCCAAACGAGGGAGGAGAAGCCAAGCAAGTCGACTTTCCTAAAGCGCCCGCCGGGCTGGGGCGAGGAGGCGAGCGGGCAGGTTGGCGGGGTGGGGCGGCGGCCGTGGGCGAGGCCAGACGTCGCCGCGACCGCGCTGCCGCGGGCCGGCAGGCCGGAGGGTGGAGTCGGAAGGAAGCTCGGAACGGGGGCAGCGGGCTGGGCTTGCTCTCCCGTTTGCTTTTGTGTTTAGCTTGCTGGAAGTTAGAGGAACGAGCAGAAAGTCACGCTGTCTTCAAAAAGTTTTTCAAGCTAAAGTGATCTTTTCTTTAACGTTTTTCTTTTTGAGAAACAAGAAGGGCAGGACCTTTTCACGGGGTAGCGTGGTCCTTCTACATTCGTGCCTGGCCCAGATCTTAGCAGTACCCCTCCCGGGTCAGGGTGGCTCTTCCAGGGCTCGGGTGGGAGAGGGGAGCGGGTGCTCTTGGCTTCTGGCTGGCAGGAGGGCTTATGTAGACGCTGCAGTCCTGGAGGGAGGTGAGAGGTCTGAGCGGTGGCTTCTTTCATTGTCTGTCCGGCTGTCTTGGGTGTAGGGCAGAGTGGAGGGTGCTGTCCGGGTACCCAAGGAGGTGAGTTAGAGCCGTCCTTGACTGCAGGTTGGGTGGAGTCTGGTGAAGGGGAGGACCAGGGAGACAGCAGCGCGAGGGATGAACCAAGAGCCCAAGAGAGGTGCCAGGTGTGGCTGGGGAAGGCCCGGAGCCAGAGTGCGGGGGTCGGGGCGTCTGTGGGTCATGCAGGGGATCAGCCGCGGAGCGGGACAGCTGGTCTGGCTCCTTGGAGAGACGGCACTGCCCTCCCAGCCTTGCTGCTTGTTGGCTGTGTGACTTCAGGTGGTCTGCTCTTTCAGAGCCGTCTGTGGAAGGGGAATTGGAGTGCCTGCAGCGCGGAGAGATGCAGGAGGATAAGCTGGGGGGTAGAGGTGGCGCTGGGAATGCTGGCTACTCTTGGCCTGGAGAGATGTTTGTGGGAGGCCTTTGTAACCCACGGGCCGGGAGTTTAGGGCCAACAGCTGTGTTTGCTTTGTGTCGAGTTGTAGACACTTGCTTTCTGCCTTTATGGGGAGGGACCACGTTGGAGGCAACCTAGCCCCCAGTGAGTCTGTTTCAGAGCAGTAGACTGTTGACTGGGTGAGTTGAGTTCGCAGGCTTTGTGTCAGGAGGACCAGCCTGTCGGCTGAGCTGCTGAGGAAGCAGCTGATTGTGTTGTGTCTGTGTGTGATTATTACATGGGGGCCCATGAGAAGCAGGCACTGCCTGGAAACTGACCAGCAGTCTGACTTTTAAACTGATGGAGGTCTGTGTTTTCTGGACTTCCCTGTCATCATTGGAATACCCAGAAATTAACCATAGTTAGGGTTAAGGGGGCTGGTTCTCAAGGCCCTTGTCAGGACTTTGGTAACCAGGCAGTCATCTGGGTGAGGTCAGTGAAGCACTGTCTCGTGGGCCCCTGCTGGGGAAGCTGGTCCAGGTGCTGCAGGAGGACAGCTCTGCAAGGGACAAGGCTCGGAGCTGCTGCTTCCCTGGGCCCTAGCAGGAAGGGGCATTCGCTGCTGCCTGGCTGTCAAGTAGGCAATTGCGAAAGGGCACTGAGATCTCAGAAGAGGGATTGGGATGGAGTTTGGCCATCTTTGTACCTGTGTTTTTAGATTTAGTGGATTGCGTATTAGACGTTGTCAATCATGAATTCCTTAACAATTCTTTAGCTGTGAACCACCTCCCCTGTTAAAAAAAAAAGTGATATAATTTCAGTAGTCAAGTACTGGTTTTCTTCAAGAGATTGTTTTCAAGGTGGTGTCTTAGGATGCCAGCGCCGGGAGGGCCCAGGTGCCCTCTGTCCCTCACATGTTTACTGAGCATCTGCTGTAAGATTTCAAGACGCTGAGGCCTAGACTTACGACTGCTGAGTGAGCGAGCAGCAGAGACCTGGGACGCGTCCTGGCCCCTGATGTGGAGATCCAGCCATCGGGGTGTGAAGGAGCTCGCTCCTGCGGACATCTTTTGCGTGCTCAGTGCTGGGGTTTTAGTTGGCCGGTAATCTTTTAACCGTTTCAGGCTGGAAGAATTGAGGAAATGTGTTATTTTTACTATTTCTTGATATTTTTGTTAGTTCATACAGTTCAGTGTCAACCAGGTAGTTTGGAATACGGTTCTCTTCTAATGTTTTAAGTGTTTTTTGTTCTTTTTTAAAGAAAGAGTTTCCTTGCATTAATTCACCTTAGGTGACAGGGCGTGGACTCAGCTGTAGGAGCAAAGAGTGCTCCCTCCTTCCTTTGGAGCCTGCCACAACGAGAAGAATGGTGTACCGTGTGCGGACAGAGCCCCGTCTTCCCTGTCTCTGAAAGGCCTTGCTGAGCAAGCGGCAGCCTTACCTTCAGCTCCCCCAGCCGCGTCTGAGGAAAGGGAGGTCCGGCAGGAAGCCTGCTTGGGGAAGCCAGAAGGAACGCAGCGTGTCCCGACTTGCTGCTGGGGTTTGCTGGGACTTACTTGGAGGAGAATTTTGAGAGGTGTCACTGGCACCCATCTGTCTTACTGTGCACTTCCTCTGCTTGGCCTTGAGCTGCCGTTAAAGTAGGTGTGTAGTAATTTTTTCTTTCTTTTTGCAAAGAGTCATTTCTAATGTGAAAAGGGCCCCCACTTCTTGTGTAGTCCACTCCTGTTGTCCTTGGCGCTTTCCATTGTGGCCAGTGGATGACAGGGTCCCACCCTTGCCACTGTGAAGGAAGTGAGCCCAGAAGAGCGGCCGCGTGAGCGACATCAGATTCCACGTGGTCTGGGACCGTGAGGAGCCACACTGCACAGGGCTCGGTTGTTTAGGGAGGACTTTTGTCCTGTCCGTAACTGGCAGTGTTAGGTGTTTGTGAGAGAATGATAAAAGTGCAGCTTAAATTTTCCCCGCGGCAAGGCACAATCCAGGAGCTTTGGAGAATCTGGGAATGCACTTCTGCCTGGTGGGAGCAAACTGGCCCTCCTGCTGGGCCTGGGTGGGGCCCCCCCAGGTGGAATTTGCAGGGACATGCCCACCCTCCAGCCTGGGCCCGCAGCCGGGATGGGGGCAGACACACACCAGCAGGCCCCCTTTCTGGGGCTGCGTGCTGCCTGGATGTGGGCGTCCTCCTGTTCCCCACGCAGCAAATGAGGTCGGTGAGGGGTAGTTTAGAGCTTTCTGGCTCTGGCGCAGGGCAATAAACGTCCAGTGTTGGCGACTTACTGCGGAGTGCGTGGCCATTGGTGCTCGTGGTCGGCTGACAGGTGTCTGCTCAGCGGCTGCAGCGCCTTCTGGCCTGTCTGGCTCTGCCTGCAGGAGTCTTGTGCTCAGGCGAAGGAGATAAAATCCTGTGGCCATGTGTCTGCAGGGGTCTGAATGGGTGTGATGACTGTTTTTCTTCCTCTTTGTGCTCGCGGGAAGATGTTGCTGGTGGCCGACAATCGAATCTGGTTGTGGGGGACCCAGACTGAACTTGCTTGAGTCTCTAGAGTTTTTTTAAACAGCCTTACTGAGGTATAATTTACATACCATAAAGTTTACTTGTTTTAAGTGTACAGTTAAGTAGTTTTAGTAAGTTGCAGAGTTGTGTGATCATCACTACAGTTTAACTTGAGAAGGTCGCCATCACCCGCAAAAGAAACGTTGTGTCCATCAGCAGTCACTCCCTGTTTCCACCCCCGCCCCGGGCAACCGCTGGTTTACCTTGTCTCTAGATTTGCCTATTCTGGGCCCTTCGTAGAAATGGGATCACGACATGGGGTCTGTTGTGACTAGTTAGCTTGGTGTTGTAAAAGTTCATCCTGGTGTTGCGTGTGTCAGCCCTCCGTCCTTTTCATCGCCAAGTGATCCTCCCTTGTGTGGAGATGTGTGTGGTCTGCTTCTCTGTTGATGTCTGCGTAGTTCCTGCTTTTTGCCAACTGTGAGTGGTGCTGCCGTGACCCAGCCTATTCTGACAGCGAGCTGGACCACTTCTTTAGCCGAGGACGCCTACAGGTCCTGACTGCGTTTGCCGTCGGTCATGGGCCAGGCCCTGAGCTGGGGATCAGAGCTTCCAAGATGGAGAAGACACAGCTTCTGCTCGCTCACGCTGGTGAAGGAGGGCGGTGGACACGGCGGTGGGAGCATGGAGGAGTCACCGAGGTAGAACTGGGTCGGGGAGGCCAGGCCGGAAGGGTGTCTTGGAGCAGGGGGGTGCTCAGTTGGGTCGTATAGGAGGGTGTGTAGGAATTCTCCAAGTGTAAAGGAGGAAAGATTGTGGTCCAGGAAGAAGGAATGGCATGTGCAAAGGCACAGAGGCCTGAGTGGAAAAACTGTCCTCCACCAGGGACCCCTGGCAGCTGTGGTTGCAAGAACACAGGAGGACCCTCCCGTGGCAATCGTTTGGGCCTGGTGTGCTGCCATGTTTGACCTGGCTGGTGTTGCATTCCCAGCCACCTCACGGAGCCCTCACATGGAGCCCTTTGTGGAACGAACACCTCCGCTGGGCCACTCCTGGCAACACATCGTTTCTCACTTGTCCTCCCGCACTCAGTGTCTCCTGGGAACCCTTGGCAAAGTGTCCTCGAAGCTGTGCTGCTGACGGGAGACTGGTAGGACGGGGACTCCCTCGCGGTGCCACATAACAGCTCTGCTAGGGAGTGGGCAGGGGGCTGGCGGTAGGCAGGGCTGCCTTTCCTGCTGCAGGTGCTCTGAGACGAGCTGCAGCCTGGAGTGCTCGCCCTCTGCTGCGGGCCTCAGTGCTGGTGTTCTCACCACTGAGCGTCGCTGCCTGATGCTTGCCCACCGAGGCCTCTTCCCCAGGATGCTGGGGGGCTTGCTGCCAGGTCTTGTTGGCACAAGCTAGTCTTGGCTTGGGAGGGGTTCCCTTGGTACAACAAGGCTGTTGTCAGCTCCAGAACCTCCTCTGGGAGGGAGCCATGGTCTTTCCCATGGCCTCTGCCGTGGTTTGGGAAGGTGGATATAGGAGGCCACCTTGGTGGGGACTCCATGTCGATGTCCTGTTTCTCCAGCATTTCCTATGTTGTCCTTGCAGTGGTCCTGGAAACTTAGGCAGGCCAAACCCCATGTCCCTGGTTTTGTCGTGAATGTGCTTGTGTGGCACGTGAGGGAGGCTGAGCCCAGGTGTGGATATGCTGGACCAGGCACCCTCTGGACTTTTGTTGGGTCGTGCATCAGCCCTGGGAGCTAGTCTGGGAGGTGGCCTCGGTCCCCGATGGGGACTTCTGTGTGCCGTTCCTCCTGCCCACGTCAGCCCTGTCCGGAAGAGGAGGTGGCGTGTGCTGTTCCTGCCTGACTTGGCAGGAGTGCCTCCCATTCTTTGTCTTCGCAGTGTTTGTTTTTCTTTCTGCACAGGATTTCTCCTGGATGGAGCACACCCATTGGAGTTCAGTGCTGCTCCCTAGGACAGTGCCTGGGAACGTGGAAGCAGGAACAGTTGAAACTGGAGGATAAAATGTGGAAGCTTAGAGAGAAAAGGAGGAGTTGGTGGCCGGGAAGTCTAGGCCACGTGTGATCCGTGCTACTGTTTTCACTGGAACCGTGTGGCTTTGGGCTGTGGCCATGTGCATGTTGTCACCTCCTGGTTTCCTTCTCTTTGAGGAAGGTTTCCTTTGCTCGCACGAGGGAGCCGATAGGCACAGTTGTCTGGGGTGGAGTGTTTGTTCTGTCCTTGCCTGCAGTCGTGTGTACATCCCAGGAATAACATAGGATGTAGTTACTGCCTGTTACACCTTTTCATTTGCTTGTTTGGACCGTTGCTGCTGTCTTGGGTAGTGGTGGCGATTTGTGGTCAGTGTTGGTTAAGTGTTTTCGTGTGGATGAAGGCAGGGAGCTCCCACAGAGGTATGCAGTTTCTGCCCCGAAAAGGCAGGCTGAAGTTGGAAAGCAGAGAGGCGCACCATCTTCCCCTCAGGGTCGATAGAATCCCCTCCCACTGTCGTGCCAGGCTGGCCCTGGGCCAGCAGCCTGTGCTCCCCGAGGAGCAGCACCTCTGGAGCCTCTTTGTTTCGGTGTTTGGCCTTCATCGCCCGTACCCACTGAGCCCCTACTCTGCTGGGACTGGGCTCCAGAGTGTGGAAAATGCCGGGTGGCCCTGTGGGAGCCAGATGGGCGTGCCTGGGAGTGACCTCTGGGGTGTAAGATGAACTTGGGTGCAGCTTGTCTGTGTCAGCCCTGGGCCTGGGTCCTCTGCTGTGGGGGAGCTGCTCTGGGGTCTCCCTCCCAGCATGCCTTGAATTCCCATGCTGTCACGTGTTCTTCTGGTGTCACGTGCAATAAGGCACTTTGTCATAAATGGTGCTGTGAAGTGTAGAGTGTGAGCCAGAGGCTCTCTGACCTCTGATGTGTGCTGCATACTGTCTGCAGACACTATTCTGAGCACTCAGGAGGCAGCTGTGAACAAAGATGGGGGCCCTTTGCCTGGGGCAGCTGCCGTGCTAAAGGTGGACGGGAAGTAAGGAGTAGGGGTGTGGCAGGTGGAAGCGATGCCGGTGGAAGCGATGCAGGTGGGAGCGGGAGAGCCATTTTAGTAGGGGTCTCTGGAAGGCTCTTTGAGAAGATGCCATTGAGCTAAAACCTAGAGAAGTGAGAGAACTTGCCACGTGGATGTAAGGGGGGTTGACTAGTTGCATCCTAGAAGGAAGTGTGTCCTCTGCCCCCCATATCACCAATGACTTGTGAATTTTTTATTCTTCCAATATTTTACAATCTGTTATGGTCTTGATTATTTTGGGTGTGTGGGTTGTGGGAGCTCGTTTAAGTTGGCTCTTGTGTCAACTGAGTAGAGAAAGAGAGGGAGCAAAACCTAAAAGAGAGCAGGAACAAACGAACCTCACAAGTGTACTGATAACCACAGAGAGAAAAGCACTGTTCTGACCAGCACCTCAAACAGCTGTGACTGCGTGCTGTGTGTGCAAGCGCACATGCGTGTGCAGGCATAGGGAGACTCTAAGGACAGGTTGACTTCTCGGGAGGGTTGTGGTGAAAGTAGTATTGGTGTCGTGACTTGAGAACTAATTTATGAGTATTGTACATTAAAACAAACAAGTATGTCAGTGTCAGCAACAGCCAAGGTTTCGATGTTAAAGAGATACAATGTAAAATAAAACCCTGAGGTTAAATTGGAAATACTACTGTGAACTAATAGTTTTATGTGTATAACTCCTAGCTCTGTCTCTGGACACTTGTATATGCACAGCCCTGCTGGGAGGGGACTCTGTGGCTTCTGCTGCGTGTGGTATGCTTGAATGGTCTGCGCAGCTTGCCCAACCTCCCCGAGACGCGCCCTTTTGAGTGCAAGCCCCAGTGGTGGCCTGATGGGGCCGCGCCATCGCCCGAATGGTCGCCCTGTCAGTCCTGGCAGTAGCGCGGTTGGCTGGGCCAGTTTGCAGGTGTGTGTTCCGCATTGTCCTGGGGGCTTGCGGGCTTGGCCCCACTGGGTCAGATAGACACAGCTCTCTTCGCGGGCTGTCTTAGCAGTTCCTGACCTGGGCTTGGGGAGGCGTCTGTGGCTGTGAAATCATCCACAGATCTCAGTGGCTCCATTGGAGGACCAGGTTGATGGGTGGGGCCTCACGCGGATGGCTGAA